ACAAGGCCTCGCTCCACACGGCCGCGGAGCACTCTGGGAACCCAGCGGCTGGGAAGACGACGAGCGGGGAGATGGACGCCCCCTCCCGCCGCCGGCGTGACGGACGGTTCAGCTGGGCCAATAGAAAGCAGCCGGCGCTCCCAGAACACCTATCGCGGGCTCTGAGGGCGAGCGGCCAATCGAAGTGCAGCAAGAGGTAGTGGGCGGGCGGCAGTAGGTGACCGACAACTCTGAAAGGCGCTGGGCGGGCAAATCGAGGCTATCCGGGAAGGTGAGAGGCCCAATGAAGCGGGAGTTCCAGAATCGCGGGGCGGCTTCAGAACCGGATTGACTGCTGCGGAGAGTCAGGTGGACTGGAGGGCGGGGCTTCACGAAAGGCCCCTTTGAACAGACTGGGCGGAGCACCCGGCGAGCTTTGAACGCCAGCCAATGAGTACATGCGAAAGGTGGTTCTTGTAGAGATTGGCAGTCGATTTACTCCAATCCCTGACTCGTTCTGAGTAATACCCTCGGAGTGGGACAGGTTTCCTTGTCTTGTTAACCAGAATCCCTTTCTAGTCTTGACATCTCAGCCAATGACTGGACGACGGGGGCGGGTGTAAGGTAACTGACATTGCTCGGAACAAATCACGACGAAAGAAATAAAGGTGCCCAATTTTGGTGGGAGCCAGTGAAAGCTTAGCTGCATTGGGGCGGAGCCCGCTACCAGACGGCGACAGGGGATTAGAGGGAGCTGGAGTGAATGGCAGGCGACGTGTGCATTGGCGACAGACTGCCGGAAATCAGAACTGACGTCTGGGTTTGTGTCCTGGGAGCCGGGCTGGGTAGGCCTGGCACGTGGCCTGCTCGAGGTCTTGGAGATCGGGTGCCTCCGGTGGTGGAGTGACCCAAGAGCAGGAGGAAATGTGGGGAGTCTTTGAGGAGAACACACTCCATGAAGGATCTAGAATACTCATTTCTCTTCCAGGACTTCCTCTGTACAGCTCCCTTCCCAGACTCAAGTTCTGGGGCCACTGGTTTCCTTCCAAGGCCAAGGCATATCAGCCCCTCATTCTCCATCCCACACCCTCATTGAATAAGGACCTAGGACTTGGCCTCTGAACTCCAAGCTCCTATTCTAGGCCCTCAATTTCTTTTGAACCCAGGCATCATCCATTAACTTTTCTTCTGAACCCTGGCATCATTCAGACTTAAAATCACCATTCTATAGCTGGAGGGTAGGGGCAAGCAAGGTATCCCAGGTGTGCTCTGGGACCCAGGATCTCAGGTACCCAGCTCTACTGTGGACCCAGGTATCCCAGACACATCCAGCAGAAACCATCTCTTTATTCTTGGTTGTCTCCACAGGTTGACCATTTCACCCTGGTGCCAGGACAAGCCAAACTGGAGTCCCAACTAGAACCAGTCTGCAAGCTGGGTGGGGGGGGGGACCCCAGGAAAATTATGACCCAGACTTCCAGTGTGCTTCTTCTGACAAGACTTCCCCTGGAACTGGAACCTGGAGAATTCTTTGGTGCCAAGGGCAATGGAATCTTCTGTCCATTTCTGCCCAGGTTGTATTGCCCAGCTTTGCCTATACGCCCAAGGTTTTCTTCATGGCTTCATACACCACGTAGCTGATACCACCTGCTGGCAACACCTTCAGCAATGTGGGAGTCATGCCTCGGTACAGCCCCGGCCAGCCTTGCTGGGCCAGGATGCGCCGGAACACTCCGCTCATGGTGGGGTTTGAGCCCTCAGCAGTGTCTGCAGGGACAGGAGCAAACTTAGGACCTCAGCCAGAGATGACCCAGATTCTAGAGAGGCTAGAGTGAGGGTGAAGTAGGGAGGGATGAAAACAAGGGCAGGGGCAGAGTGAGGGGTCTTTGAAAAGGAGTTAGAAAGACTTTTAAGAGAAAATTGGTCCATTTGGGAGAGTGAGATAATCAATTTAGACAGGAAATTTTCAGAAGTCATTTTGAGTACATCTTACAAAACATTCAGCTTACCTGGGAGGGAACTCTCAAGATTTGCTGGAAGGTGTTCTGGGGAGTGGGTGCTAAGAGGTAGTTTGGGGACTTTTAAAAAAAGATTTACTTATGCATACAAGAGTTGGGGTGTAGTCCAGAGGAGAGGGGTGCTGAGGATCTGCCGAAGACAGAGTGGGGATCTGTGAGAGACAGAATGGATCTACTGGAAATACACTGCTGAGGAGAGCAGTGGGAGAGACAGGAGAGGTTAACTCCCTGGCTTGGGGATTGAACTGCTGACTCAGTAGCTAGTGATAGTTTGATAGCCCTGAGACTTAACCTCTACTTTATCAGGGACATTTTGAAGATCAGGGTGATATGCAAAGGATTGTCATTGACGTTCGAGGATTGCATTAGGGAATGAGAATCTATTTGGGGAGTAATGTTTGAAGTATCTAGGGTATCAGGAGAAGTGGGACATCTAATTTTATAAATGTGAGGAACCATTTTTACTTTTGGAGTCAATTGACAGTTGAATCTGATTTGGAGACATTTGGAAGTCATTTTGGGACTATCTTGAAGTCAATTTGGGTGTATGAACCAATTTTGGGGGGGAGTTGGTCCCTTGGGGGGATATTGCAGTGAGTTACTTCAGAACTATATGCTCCTTTTAGTAATTTGTGGGGTTAATTTGAGGACCAGGATCAGACTAGGGAGTGATCAAAGCTTTGATGGCCTAGATCCGCAAAGGTGACCAGGATTAATTTAAAAGTCAGTTTCAGGGGAAGAAGAAAGTTCAGGGTGTTGGGGTAAGGAGGAAAGTGCATGTGTGGACATCCTGCTAGAGCCAAACTGACCTTGGGCCTGCATCCTGGTGCGTACCAGAGTCAGAGGGTAACTGGCCATCTGGCCACAGGTTGTGGACAGTGTCACAGATGACAAACTGACCAGTCCGCTTGGGTCCTCCATGTCCCTGCCTGACTTCAGCCAGAAGTACCTGAGCATCTGAAAGAGAAGGGGATCAGGAAGAAGCAACAACAGGCCCGGGTTTGTGCCTCCCCTGCCACCCTGTCTGCAGGACCCATACCTCGTAGACAGCCAGGTCAGTACAGGCATAGGGGATGATGCCCAGCATGTTGGGCAAGTAACCACGGTAAAGGGCTCGGGTGCCTTCCCGTTGTAGGATCTGCCTCGCACAGTCCAGCAGCCCAGTGTACTGGCCAGTACGACGCAGGGTCAGCCTTGTCTTTAGCACCTGGGGAGAGTAAGGAGTGAAGTACTCATTACTTCAGTTACTTTAGTGACCCTCAGCAATGGCCCTTGTCTCCATCCTACAAATGAGAACACTCAAGCCCAGGAATGCACAGAAGTTGCAAACCCAGACCTGTCCATTCCTTGCACTGCATGTGCTCCTAACTCAAGGCTTAGAAATTCAAATGTCAACTGAGGCTGAGAAATGAAGGAATGGGAATTGATTGCAGCTGAGTGGGGTCTGTGGCAGCATTGATAAAGCACCAGCCAAGTGAGTGCCATGAAAACACAGGTCGCAGGTGCCCAGGTCTGCCAGTTTTCTGAAAGCAGCCAGCAATCTGGATTTTTGCAAAGTGCCCCAAATTTAAATAATGACTGCATACTATGTACAATGATGCCCCCTCCCCTTTGAATGTGGACTACACCTGTGACTGCAATGGGCTATCACTTCTCTGAGAAGTTACATTATATGACTACATTGAAGAGTGGTGATTTGCATATACAATTAAGGCTCCTCACCAGGCTTAAGTTGCAAGATAAATTGTCCTGAGTCGGCTTGGCCTAATCTGGTGAGCCAGAGACATGAAATCAGAGAACTTGAAGCATCAGACACTCTCCTGTTGATCTTAAACAAGTAAACCACTGTGGAGAAGACCAGGTGTCAAGGAACAACCAGAAGTTCTGAGTTGCTGAGGACTTCAGTCCTACAACCATAATGGTTGAATCCTGCCAACAAGCATGGAGGTTGGCAGAGAATCTGAACCTCAGATGGATTTCTTGGCAGCCCGGCTGACACTTTGACTTCTGCTTAATGAAAACCTGAATAGAGGATTCTACTAGCCAGGCCTGACCCATAGAGAACGAGATGATAAATCGATAGTATTTTAAGCTCCTGAGTCTGTGGTTATTTTTTATGCAGCAATAAAAAACCAGAAACACTTTGGAAGGAACTTAATCAGATGAGGGCAAGAATTATATGAAGAAAATTTATAAGGCCATTAAAATTTATAAGGCCATCAGAGACTTAAACAAATGGAATATGTTTTGGATGCATATATTAAACACCACATAGCTGGCAATAACGTCTAACTTTATTTGTGAATTGAATACCATCCCAATGAAAAACAACTATCAGTAGGTGATTATGTGTTGTGAACTATACACATTGCTTTCAACAGAGGATGATAACTTGGAAAAGGGATTTTTAAAAGTAAGGGATGTCAAAATCAAGCCACGGAAATTAAAGAGAGAAGGCAAAACGGGCAAGGAGCCGTGAATGGCCTGAGCACAGATATTCTTTAGGGAATGCAACTATTCTAAATGATACTATGATGGTGGATACATATTATACACCTATCAAAACCCATAGACTGGTATACTGCTGATTTGAGCCCTAATATAAACTGGGCCTCAGTTAATGACTTTGTATCAATATTGTTGCATCTGTTGTAACAAATGATATAAATGTTGGGAGGTGTCTATGGGGACTCTACTCTTTTTTTTTTTTTTAAAGATTTATTTATTTATTCATACAGAACTGGGGTACAGGCCAGAGGCTCAGGGGCGGTGAGAGGCTTCACCAGAGACAGAGTGGGGAGCAGAACAGGCAGATCGATGAAGTACACTGCTGAGGGAAGCAGCGGGTGGGTCAGGAGAGGTCTGGCTCGCCATGTGGTCTCCTCCGGGGCAGGCGGCAGGCGGGAATCGAACTCATGCGGAAGCGGCTTCAGATTCTCAGTGCTGTGCTTTAACCCGCTGCGCCACCAGGGAGGGCCTCTACTCTTTTTTTTTTAAGATTTATTTATGCATACAGAGATTTATTTATGCAGGCCAGAGATGCAGGGGTAGTGAGAGGATTTACCAGAGACAGAGTGGGGAGCAGAACAGGCTGATCAACAAAGTACACTGCTGAGGGGAGCAGTGGGCGGGCCAGGAGAGGTCTGCCACGCCATGTGGTCACTTCCAGGGCTGGGGATGGAACTCACTGAAGAGGCTGTGGCTCACTTGCAGTGCTGAGCTTTAACCTGTTGCTCCACCAGGGAATGTCCGGGACTCTGCTTTCTATTCCGTTTTTCTGTAGAGCTGAAACTGCTTTACAAAATAGTCTTAACAAATTAGAAGACAGGGCCTCCCTGGTGGCTCAAGGGGTTAAAGTGCAGCACTGTGAAGCTATCTGCAGCCTCTGTAGCATAAGTTTGATCCCTGGCCAGGGAGATGACCCACATGGCACAGCAGTCCTCACCTATCTCCCCATTGAAATACACTGTTGTTCTGCCTGTTCTGCTCATTCTGTCTCTGGTGTATCCTCATACCCCCTGTACCTCTGGCTGTTACCCCATTTCTTGTATTCTTAAATAAATCTTTAAAAAATATTAGAAGACATTAGCATGTAAACAGACACCAGAGCAAAGAGAAGGAAAAGATTAGAAATAAAATATATGTGGGAATTTGATAAAGGTACCATCTTGGATCATTGGGTGTGTGTGTGTGGGGAACCCAGCCATTAAGTTGTGTTGTGAAGCCTGGACTGTCAGCTGAAATAGGGCCTTCCCTGGTGGTGCAGCTGGTTAAAGCACAGCAGTAAGAAGCGAAAGCTACTTCAGCATGAGTTCGATCCCTGCCTGCCCCGGAGGTGATGCACATGGTGCAGCAGACCTCTCCTGACCCACCCGCTGCTCCCCTTGGCATATATTTCAATGATTTTCTTGTTCTGCTCCCCACTCTGTCTCTGGTGAATCCTCTCACCGCCCCTGCACCTCTGGCCTGTACCCCAGTTCTGTATGCACAAATAAGTAAATGTTTAAAAAAATTGATAACTTATCCTACAAGTATAAGGAAGGAAGGAGAGAAAAGGAAGGAGGGTAGGAAGATAAAGGAGAGGGAAGCAGGGACGAGAAGAAAGGGGTAAAGGAGGAGGAGATGAGGTAGCTCTAGCAGTTACTACCAAATTATTTTCATTTTGTAAATGGCAGAGATTCTGTTACCTCCATTGGGTTGATGAGTGTCTGGGAGGTGGCTACAGCCAGGGAGCCGGCAAGGAGACGTTCCTGAAAGGGTGGGGACCCATGCACTCCACAGAAATAATTCTTACACTGGATGAGAGAGAGGAACATGAGAGAAAAGCCTTATTCTTATGAAGATCCCATCCACGGGGCAAGATCTGGGACTTGGTGGACAAAAGTGTTTCTTGGATAAGGACTTGAGCTTGGGGGTGGGTAGAGGAAGGGTTTGGGTTTGAAAGTGGGGCTGGGGAGAAAGGACCATGCCACACCTGTTCGAAGACAGAGAACTTGATTGCGTATTCAGGGGCAATCTTGAGAACATTGATACCGTTGCCACGCCAGAGCGAGCGGAAGCCCCCTTCCTGGATCATGCTCCGGAGCCCACCCAGCAGGTTCATGAAGTTAGTCTTGGAGGAGTATACCTGGGGGTAGGATGCCTCTGACTCTGTGAGGAGCCTCCACCCCAGCTCATCCTTATCCCATTTGGAGTCCAAATCCATCCTGTCTCTCCCATCCCTGTTCTTTCTGCTCCTTCCCTGACTAGCCCTAGAACCCTCTAAATCACCGTAACACCAACCCCCATTACCATTCATCCCTCATCTTCATCTCTCTAGTTCTTCATCTTCAGTCATCCAAAGCCACACCCCCAATTTCCTGGTCCCCAACCCTAATTTTGCTCCTGGTTCCATTCTTTCAACCCCTTCCCTTCCTCAACTTCATGCCCCATCCACATCAGCTCCACTGTCATCCCTAATTCCAAATCTCCATTCGGCCCAACTCCAACCCATGTGCCAATCTCCATCCTATCCTGAACTTCATCAACTCCACCTCCATCCATCTCCAAGCCAAGGCCCCCAGAGCTGTGCTCCCCACCCACCTGCATATACACCTTGGCACGATCCAGTGGGGCTGTGCCAGTGCGAGACACTGCCCCAGCCATGGCTCCTGAGAGCAGAAACTTCCACAGGGTTCCTGCATTATCAACTTCCAGGACATCCACAGGGACCATCAGTTGTTCTCCAGTATCCAGCACCTGCAGTGCAGACCCAAGCCCCTCCCACTCAGACAGACCCAAGCTCCTCCCACTAAGACCCAAGCCCCTCCCACTCGGACTGGCAGGCTGGAGTGAAAGACCCACCCTGGTTCTCTGGGCTTTTAGAAGGAATTCGCGGTTTCCTTGAAGGGGGAGGAGCTTAGCGCCCCCCCCCCCGCACACACCTCTTCCTCCCCCCCCCCCATCTACACCCATCCACCCCGAGGTACTGGGAAACTCGTGGTTCCCAAACTCACCTGTTGTGATGGGAGGTATTCTAGCTCACTCTCTCGCACGTGCCCAAACACATACCCATACACATGTGTACAGCCTGGGTTCCGGGGAGGGGCTGGAGGGGAAGATGGGGAAGGGGCTTTGGTGAGTAAGACCTTGACTCTCTTAAACAGGGTCTGGGTTCTGGAGCAAGACTTTTGTGTTTCCTCAGATTGGGCTCCCATGGAGCTGGAGGGTCAAGAAGAGGCTCAAATTGCAGAGAGAGGTTTGTCCCACCAGCAGCTGTGTGGCAGGCCACCTTGTAAATTTGGTCCGGGGACAATGAGGTCACAGAGGCCCTTGTGACCTCACTGAGTATGATGGACAAAGTGAGGGTCTTCTCCCCAAATGCCCACCTAATCCCTATAAACTTGTCAGTATGTTATGTTGGCAAAGGGGGGATTAAATGTTCAGTTGTGGCAATTATCCTGAATTGACTGTGCTGGCCCCATGTAATCTCATAAATGCTTACACAGGGAAGAGAGAGGTAGAACAGTCTGTATCAGAGTGATAAGGCGTGAAAGAGACTGGTCTTTGCTGGTTTTGAAGTTGAAAGAGCGTGCAAGAATCATGGAATGCAAGTTGCCTCTAGAAACTGGGAAAGGCAGGAAGTGTTCTCCTGAGAGCTTCCCGAAGGAGCCAGCCCAGCCAACACCTTAATTTTAGTACTGTGAGATCCATGTCAGGCTTAACCTTCACTTGGCATAACACATTTGTGTTGTTTTATTTACTTAAAAAATTATTTATGCATACAGAACTGGGGTATAAGCCAGAGGTGCAGGAGGTGAGAGGATTCACCAGAGACAGAGTGTATCTACTGAACAGATGTATCTACTGAAATACACTGCTGAGGGGGGAGCAGCCGGGGAGTCTTCTGTGCCATGTGCATCACCTCCCTGACCAGGGATCAAACTGGTGCTACAGTGGCTGCGGGTAGCTTCATGTGATGCAATTTAACCCATTGCACCACCAGGAAGGGTCCCCATTTGCGTTATTTTAACTCTTAAATCAGTTAGTTTGTGGCATTGTTACAGCCCACTAGTAAGCACATGCACTGGGCTTCATTGTCTTAGTAAAAGATGGAAGAGTGGAGGATGTGAAGGTTCTACTAAAAAAAAAGTTGACTCAAAAATAAGACAGGCATAGGTTTGGAGTTACAGGGACCTGGGTTTGATTTCCATCTCGGGCACTTCTTGCACCCTCTGGTATCTGCTTTACCTCCCTGAGCTTGTTTCCCCATTTGGAAACTGGAAATGATGACTACCACATAGTGCTGTCAATAGGATCCAGGGAGAAGCTCCATCCTTTGGGTTGTTTTGGTCATCTTTGATCTTTGGTTATCTTTGATTCCTCTCTTTTTCTCATGCCTACCCTCTATCTTCAAATCCTATAGACTCCACCTTCAATATATATCCAGAATCTGGCTGCTCACATAGCCCTCTCAGCCCCTTGGTTCCTGGCTTCCCCCCAGCCCGGTCTGCGCTCCCTATAGTAGCCACCAGAGGTCACCCATGAGCACATGAGGCTGGTCCCACCCATCCTGGCCCACAGCCCTCCTGGGTGGCTGCTGCCTCCCTCAGGGTAGAAGTCCAAAGTCCTTCTTTTCACACAGCCCCTAACGACCTCCCCGGGCTCCCTTCCTGCTGGTGCTCACCTCCTCTCTCCTCCAGGTCACTCTACTCCAGCCACACAGGCTTCCTCTCTGTTTCTCCAACTTGCCAGCATGTACCTGCCCCAGGACCTTTGCATTTGCTATTCCCTCCGGCTAGATTTTTTTTTAGACAGCTCCTTAACTCCATCTCACTATCTTTAAATCCCTATTCAAATGTCAGCTCCTCTGTGTGAGAATTTCTCTTGCCACTGTTTAATATTTAAGCTGTGGTATTCATCCTCTTTCCCTTCTTTATTTTTATCCACAGCACCTTTGCTTTCTACGTGTTCACTTATTTATTGTTAGTTTCTCCCACAGTAAAGTAGGGTCTCTGAAAGCAGAGGTTTTTGTCTTAGGCACTGCTGTATCCCATGCACAGAATTGGGTCTGGGGCACAGAAAGTGTTCAATAAAGAGACAATGAGAACCTCCATGGTGGCGACGCAGTGAGTTAAAGAACAGCACTACAAAGCTAGCCTCAGCCACTGAGCACAACTTTGACCCCAGGCCAGGGGGGTGACGTTACCCACATGGCACAGCAGACCTCTCCTGACCCGCCCGCTGCTCCCCTCAGCAGTGTACTTCATCCATCTGCCTGTTCTGCTCCCCACTCTGTCTCTGGTGAAGCCTCTCACCACCCCTGTACCTCTGGCCTGTACTCCAGTCCTGTATGCATAAATAAGTGAATTAAAAAAAAGAGAGAGACAATGACTGAAAGAGATGATACCTGAGAGGGCTTACATGGTACAGGGTGCCTCGTACTTGCTCAATAAGTGTAAGTTCTTTTCCCTTTAAAGATGTCCATGGAAATACCTCTTATTTTGTGGGTGGGGAGACTAAGACTTAGGATTACAAAAGCAACCTGTCTGATAATTCACTGCACATCACTGATAGAAACTCCTAAATCCCAAACATAGCATCATGGGATATAAGATCAAGTATGGAAAAATCATGTCAGCTGGCCCATTCAGTAACACTGATGCTGATATAGCTTCAGTGAAAGTGATAATGCCAATTCCTCCTTGGTGGCTGTGCACAATATGTCCTCAATGCTGTTGAAAGGTTTTTGGAAATTCACTTTAAGCAAAACTATGTATGATAAAATCAAGTCCTCAGGTAGCTCTTTTTGTTCAGTGTTGGTCAGGATTTTTTTTTTCTCATCAATGTTAGGATGAGCAAGTGTTATTCAGGGACCTGCTGTATGTTGCATGCAAGTTTTCTGGTGGGCGACTTTGAGATAGTCCTTGCCTTTGACTCAGCAATTCCACTCCTAGGAACTGATCCCAGGGACATAGTTCAAAGGATATAAAAACACAAAACAGTTAGCAGGATTCGATCCTTTTTCTGAGCATGTGAAAAGCGTATTTATGTCCAGCCACCTGTTGCTGAATGATAGGGACGGGTTCTGGTAAACACATCGGGAAGAAATTTTGTCATTGTGCAAATGTCACACACCTAGATGGTAGAGACTGCTGCGCACCTAGGCTGAGGGGCTGAGGGGTGCTGCCTAGTGGGCCCACTTTTGTGTTGCTGCCATCACCAAAACAAATATTACTGCCAACACATGATCCCCCCACCATACAGTAGCAGCTGATAGCAGCAGTGTCTTTTCCTACCGAATCTCAGAGGTAACGTTCTGCCAATCCTTCTATGTCCTCTTGGGTATCCAGATCCAGGTTGGCACAGCAGGAGGGCACGCAAGCAAGTGCTAGGGGGAACATCTTAGAGGGCAACAGGCAAAGTTGGGTGATGAGTCTAAGGCCATGGAACACCAGGGACTGCCGGCAACCATCAGAAGGGGGAAAGACAGAGAATGAGGCTCTCCTCAAGCCTTTGAAGGGTGTGGGCCTGCCACGCCTTGATTTTAGGCCCATAGCCCTAGGAACTATGAGGACAAGTGTCTGTTGTTTTTATTCCTGATAGTCTAAAGGTAGAAATAACCCAAGGATCCTGGACCAGATGAAGGGATAAGCCCACAGAGGTCCATACACACAATGGGGTATTATGCAGCCTTAAAAAGGAGTGAAAATCCAGCACTAGCTGCAATGTGGATGATCCCTGAAGACATGATGTTCAAGAACATAAGAGAGAAAGGACAAATCCTGTGTGACCCACTCACAGGAGGGCCCCAGAGAAGTCACATCCAGAGACAGGAAGTAGATGGTGAGTACCTGGGGCTGGGGGAGGGGAGGAAGATTTAATGGGGACAGAGTTGGGGAAGATGAGAGGGTGTTGGAGCTGGGTGGGGTGTGTGTGGCTGCACAATAGTGTTAGTATATTTAAAGCTGCTGAAATGTACAATTAAAAATGGCTCACATGGTAAATTTTTAGGCTTTGTATATTTTACCACAATAAAAGCATACTAATCGAAAATAACTTTGTTGTCTTAAGTTCCCTCTTTGTGGTAACTAATTATCGCAGCCCTGGGAAATAGATGTATGATAAGAAAAAACAGCGAAAGAGAAAAGATAAACAGGCACTTCTCTCTGCCTCTGCTCTACAGCTGAGAAAGCAAAGTGAGGCACCAGGGAGGTATCATTTCCCCATTTCCCAGGTGCTGGGAGAGAATGCCTGGTGCCCCTTTTCTGTGGATACAGTGGTCCCCCAGCCGCCTACTCCCCTTGAGTAAAAAACCACAATGAGAGAGATTAGAAAATGTATTCCTTTTGCTCTTTTCCTTTGAAATAACACACACAGGCAGGGAGGTAGGGTGCGGGGTAGGTAGAAGTCCTAGGGGTGTCCTCCAGCCTCCCGAATATCCCAGTTCCTTTTGTGGTCCTTTAGTGGGGTTTCCTCAAGGACTTGGGAGGAGCAAGAGGGGCCCCCAATTAGCCTAAGCTCAGAATCCAGCTCTAAAGTGCAGAATGTGTATGGGCAGGGTGCTGGAGGCATAGGTTGGTGGGGCTGTCTGCTCCTTCCGGTAGAAAAATAGACCTGCATAAGTTTGGGGGCTGTAGTTTGTTTGTGTGTTTGCATAATTGGGGGCTTGGGTCTAGGGAGTTGTAGTCTGTGTAGATTGGTTTCTGGTTTCCAATTCTGAAGGCTGGGGAGGGGCTGGCAGTGCTGGGGCTGGGGGTCCCCTCTGTGGGTCCCCCAGCTTTAGGTTGCCTCCTTGCCAGTCCTGAAGAATGATTGGATCCTTCAGAGGGACCCAGACGGTGAGGTTATCAGCCTACAAGGTGAGAAGGGGTCAGAGAACCCTGCTGATCAGTGGGAGGTGAATTTGAGGGAGCAGCTTTGCACAGAGCCCAGAGGTGCAGCTGTGCTGGGGTGGTTTTGGGGCACTGATGCCAGTGCAGGTGTGAGAGGGGCATCGCATTCCTCACTCAGGACAGTGGGCAAGTCTCTTACAGCTTCCGGAGCCAGGAGACCAGTACCGGGCTCCCTGTAGCTCCTTAGATCATGGGGTGAGTGTCTGAGTCTTGGGGAGAGATGGCTGTGCTCAGGGGTATCTGGGCAGGGAGGGCCTCGCTGGATCAGGAAGCTGCGTGTGGGTTACTGGGAGCTAGACTTGGGGTTTGAGTCAAGCCTGGGGGACTCAGGTCAGAAACAAGGGGTTCAGGTGTTGGGGTCCCTGCCCATGGCGCAGGATGGAACAACTGCAGTTGCCAGGACCCACTTGTCTGCCGCTGGGATCTCATGATTGTGATTTTAAGAGTCACGATCCAGTGGGTCTGGACTTGGGGATCTGGGATCCGGTGGTGGGGGTTGAGGTTGTGGTGGTTGAAATGCAGGGACCCGGTAGCTGAAGCAGAGGGATCTGAGGTGCTGTGTCGCAGTGTCGAAGTAAGGGAATTCAGAGATCCAGTGGTTGGGGTGAGGGGATCTGGGATCCAGTGGTCAGGGCCCTGGGATCTAGGCATTGCACTGTCAGGATCAGGTGGCTGAGGCTTCTCGATTCCAGAATCCAGTGGCTGAGCGTGGAAATCCAGGACTGGAAGCATGGGGATCTGAGATCCGCCAGGGAGGTTGGGGGGTCTAGGACCCAGTGTTGCCCAAGGACATGGGATCTCGGTTCTGGGGAGAGGGGGCTGGGCGCTCAGATAGGGGGAGACACGCCCCTGTGGCTGGAGTCTCACGGTCTGCTGAGTTGGGGGCGATCCAGTGGTTAAGACATGGAGGTCCTGACCCAGTGGGCAGGGCAGGGCACTGTGGATCCAGCAGCTGGAATGTGGGGATACAGGACCCAGTGGCTGAGGTGTGGGGATCCTGCGGTTTGAGTGTGCGTGTGAGGAAACCTGGGATCCATTGGTTGGGCCATCAGTCTCCAGTGGCTGGGGCTTGGGGATCATCATGATCGAGGTGAGGGATCTTGTGGGGGGCGGGCTCTGGGTCCCTCACCTAGACGTGACCCCTAGGGCCTGCTTCATGTTCTCGTAGACCACATAGGAGATGCTCACAGCTGGGATCACCTTCATGAAGTTGGGGGCAATGCCCCTGTAGAGGCCCCGCACGCCCTCCTGGGCCAGGATATGTCGGAGCAGACCCAGCATGGACGACTGCGGGGTACCCTCGAAGGAGGCTGGGAAGGAATGGGGAGGCCAGGTAAGGTTCACACTCCCCCTTCCCTTCCCCCTCCTATTACCTGGGGCAGGGCTGGGGCCACTATAGAGGGGGGAAAGGAAGTTAGACCAATGGAGGGACCCAGCGCTTGGAGCCAGGGTTCTACTGGCTGCTCTCTTCACCCCCCAGTCTGGAGGCCCAAGTTTGGGGACAGTTAGGAACACAGCAGGCAGTGGGAAAGGACACGGAAATCCCCTCTCCCTAGACCTCAACTCCCTCTTCTCCCAGCTAAGTCCCACTCACCCTTCAACCTCCATTCCAGGCCAACTCTGCAGGGGAGCCCTCCTTGGCTCTCCCCTGTCTCCCCTGTCTAAATCCACCGCTTCCTTCTCCCCTTCATTCAATCCTAAATTCGTACTTAATTGTGGAACAATTTATTGGGCATCTTTCTTCCTCACCAGCATCTGAACTTGTGGGGGACAAGGGCCACAGCTGTCTTATGCAATCGATGGCCCCACCCCCACCCCAGCAGGGATCACATAACAAATGCTAAAATTCCCCATAAGGGTAAGGGAGCATGGGAGGGGGGAGACAAAAGAACCCATAAAAGAAAAATACAGAGAAAGACAATTAAAATAAAAACTAGCTTGAGCTGCCCCTCCTGGGCCTTCCCCTCACTATATATAGCCCAGCCTTGCTAGCTGGAGCTCGAGTTACCAGCCTGGAACTGCTGGCCCGCTGCCAAGGCGCCTCCCGGTTAAGATCGCGAGGGAGCTGCTCTCCAGGCACCTGTTGCAACCTGCTGTTCTTCGTTCATCCTATCACTTATGGACATGGGGGGCTCAAAGACACTGGGGACCCACGCCACCCAAATCCCCAAGGAGCCAGGTCTGGGACTTGCCCACCCAGGAGCAGGAGCCAGGAAAGGGCAGATGGGATTGAAGTTGGGAGACCTCC